GGGGAGGCTCAGCGAGTCCCGGGAGTTTGGGCGGGGAGGGCGGGAAACTTACCCCTAGGCGCTCGGTTTACCGACAGCCTCTGAACGGTCGGCGCTTGTGTAGTGTCTCTCGGTCCCTGGGGCATCGCTTACAGCGGTGGTAAAGTTCTGGCTCTGAAGACATTTTATTCTTGAAAAAGCAAAACCAGAACGATACTCTGAAAGTCAGCCCCTTACTGATTGAAGAGAGACAGGACATTGTTATCCGTATGGGAGCCAACGGGTTTAATCAAGCTCATGTTTTCTTCTTACATGGTAGGATGTCCTTATTACGTTTCTGCCGTTACCCTTAAATGTTCAGAGCCATGCATTTAAAATGAGATGTATATTTAGAAGTTAGTTGTAAGTGAGAAATAACTGTAAACTTTCTTCTTCATATTTATATTTAGGTTGTCATTGGTCATTCGGTAGTATTTCAGCGGCTGCCATCTATTTAAACTACTCCCCTCTCTTAATTTAGAATTTAGCTTTCTTTTTTATTTTCTTTTCGTTGCTTGCTTTGAGTTGGGTGGTATTGTTGAATGACTTATTAGGAAGTCTGTTGTCCAGGCATGAGAACTGATTTTGGAAGGAGTGCTGATGCATCCTAGAGTAATCTTTAAGGGAAGCACGTGTCTCAGTGCATCACGTGCCTAGAGCTCCTCAGAGGTTTCTCCTTCTCTTTGGATAATGATCTAAGTATTGAGTGAGCTCATTCTTCCTATCTCCAGATCCTTTGGGCCACTTTTCTCCTGTCTCTCCAGGCACCAATCACCCTGGCTTTATATTTGCTCCTGGAAAGCTTCCATTCTCTTCCTTAGGTCCTGGCCTTTCGGATTTCCTCCACCTCTAATGATCCATTCTCCCCTGTCCCCCCTATTTCTATGCATTGTTTAGATACAGCAGGAGTGGAAATGAAACTACCCCTGAGCCCTTCTCATACTCTATTCTCCATAGAAAATGAGAATAATCAATGTTAATGAGTTGTGTTAATTAGACGCTTCAGGGTTTTTTAAAAAATTTTTTATGCTAGTAAATTTCATGAAACCTGAGCTAGTCCTTGTTTCTGTCTATCATTGTTAGTCTGGCCTAGCACCTGGCACAATGAAAGAATGAGTGAGTTGGAGAACTGTGGATGGAACTTTCCAATGAGAAATATTGAGGAAAGAGACCTTGTTTTCTCTGAGAAATGGATCTTTTCTTTTTTTTTCTTTTTCTTTTTTTTAGTTTTGTTCTGGAGTGAATACTTTGGGTAGAGTGTTAGGGGAGAGTGAGAAATCATCCCTCATGGAGAATAGCCAGTATCCCTTTTCCTCTATTCTCTTGGGATTTGGGGCACACATGCACAAGCACCCATGTGTTTCCCTAGTCTCCAGGTCTGGGACTCAAACTGCAGGGTCAGCCAGGTGGGATCCTGTGCCCTAACCACCACACCATGAGAAAGTTTTTAATTAGGGCCAGTCAAACTCCATTTCTCAAAAAGGAACCCTTTGATTTGGAATTTGTCTCACTGGATAAATATACTAAACATACAGATGTAAATGAATTTTTGCCCATGTTCTTCAGTTTTGCTGATTGACATACTGACCCAATTCTGTGATTTGTAAAAGTAGTAAGGTTGTACTGAGACACACCTTTGGAAGAGAGAGAGAAATTTTGTTTTGGGTTATAAATTCTTTCCAAAGGTGTGGCTCCCCACCCCCAACCTCAGGGTGATGTGGCAGTGTTTTGCCTTGAGTGTGTGCTCAACATTTACTTTTGATACAGATTTATAGGTTGTTTAATTAATGGGAACATTGAAGGCAGGCTAAAGTTGACACATTTCCTACAGGAGTCAGAGTCATTTGTTTCTCAAACCGATTCTTTCTGTTTTGCTTTCTTAAGGTAGATTAGATACTTATCACACTGAACATTACAAAACTATACTACACAGATTAGATTAAGAAATTCTTATTTAGTCAGTGTGTTGTATTTTTGAATGGCAGTGTATGTCGCTTGGGGGAAATACAGTATTTCCCACAGCCACATCCTGGCCATTGTGATTTTTTTTTTTTAAATATCTTTTTTGCCAAAGGGTATGTGTACTCGTGTGAGAGAGACAGAGACATAGAAACAGAGAAAGTGAGAACTCATCCCCCAGGGGATGGCCATACCACAATACCTTCTCTCAGATTTTGGGCACACCCACACATGGGCCCCATGTTTTTTTAAAGCCATTGAGTCCTGGGGCCATGTGGGATCTGACACTTTAACCACCATGCCACCTAGTGGCCTGATTTTTGTTTAACAAGTTTCTTAGCATTTCTGAATCTCCTGCATTTTTAAACATGGAAGTGTTAAATGACGTATGTGATTCACCTAATGAGCGCCAGCAGTGTTATTTATGGGCTTGGTAAGCACTATTGTTGGTTCCTTCACTGTTGACCTCTTGAGAGGCTAGTCTTATGACCATTGTCCTCACTTCCTCAACTCATTTTGCAACCCACTCCAGTGTATTTTGTTTTCCTTCTTCCGGAAACTAAATGTACATGTAGTTAAGTAAATCATAGCTATTAATGTCTCCAAATTGTGAAATATCTTATATCCCACCCTCTTCTTTTTTCCTCCTTTTTTTTTTTCTTTTTGGTTGCACTTCAATTTTTCATGGTATTGATCATAGAATACCTCTTGAGTCCTGTCACATAACAGCCAACATTGCTTGTTCTTGGTTCTCCCCTAACCTCTCTTAGGCCTTGCCTTACTTAGTTCTCTAAATCCCTTATGAGATTGGGGAAATTATCTGTGAGCCGGTATAACAATATCTACTGCATAGGTTGTTGTGAGGACTAAATGAACCATAGTGTTAGGTGTTAGTTTTCTTATTTCCTAGGTAACCTCCCTGGGAGATTCCCTTTGGGTCTTGGCCTTAGCTGCCACTTCTGCACTGTTGAATCCCTGATCTTTAGCTTTTGGCCCAGGCTTATATATCCAGCAGCCTGTTGGTCATAATCACTTGTTACCTGCAGGTACATCATATTGAACTTACCTTTTCCTCTTTGTCTTCCCCCTATAATTATTTAGCATAATGTCACTTCTATAGCCTTAGTCAGTGATTTAGAATACTTAGTTGGGAGCCATATTTCCAGCTGTGTTCTGCATGTAGCCAGCTGGCTGTATTATAGATGTATGAGCTTAATGATTATAAATTTATCTAATCTGGGGCTGGCAGGGGACATGGTGGTTAAGACATTGGACTCCCTCATGGCCAACCGTGGTTCAAGTCCTGGGTCAGATGGCTTTCTTTCTTTTTCTCTCTCTCATCAAATTTAAAAAATAGTAATAATAAATAAACAGGTAATACTTTAAAGAAAAAAATAAGTTGATCTCATCTCCCTTATGTGTTTGTTACTCTTCATTAATTCACTGATTCATTTAACAAACAGATGTCATTTGAGTTCTACTTTGGTCCTTTATGGTACTTTCTTTTTTTTGGGGGCGGGGGGTGGAGAGGTTTTTGCTATAGGGCACATGCGCTTGCCAGAAAGACAGAGAGAAACAGAGAGACAGAAAGTAAGAAATCACCCCCCAGTGGGGATGGCCATGCTGCAATCCCTTCTCCTCTGTTCTCCTCTTGAGATTTTGGGCA